AGACTTTGGCAAGGCCCTAATAAAACAACCCTCCTCTGGGCTGGGACCCTGAAGGGCTAATACTTGCCAGTGGGGGCATAGATTATGAGGAGGAATGGGCAGAGGGTGATTTCTGACATGATGACAAGGTTTCATGTCATGATTTTGCTGGAGATTACCTGGATTTTGTTTTATTAATTAATTTGTTAATCTGTACATTTGTTTTGTACACATTTCTATTTATGTTTGTTATAAGTTATATGTTTGCTATATGTTACAGGGCCTGGCAGACTGTACAAACACCTGGGAATTGTTAAAAATCTAGATTCTCATACTCCACCCTCCTGAGATCCAAGCTCAGCAATTCCAAGATAGAGCCCAGGAACCTGTGTTTTCATTGAGCCACTAGGTGGGCCTAGGCCTTGGAAGCTTTGCATGGTGACTACCACATGTTCCACAGACAGCAGCATGTCATGAACTCAGGCCTCAGCAGAGAACTTGCATTTGGAAAGCCCTCTGGACCCGAAGAACCCACAGCTCTTGGAATAGCAATCAGTATGTAACTGATTTAGAGCAAGTTCTGCGAGAAAATAGAATTTATTTTTATCGTTGTCTCAATTACTTGAACTCAAGAAAGCAGAAATCTCCATCCAACCCAATAGTTTGGAAATAAAACATTAGCACAAGAAGTTGCTTCCAAAACATGATTTGATAGAAGATAATTTTATAATAAAATGTCTCTCTTGTGCCTTGAACATGAAAGTTATAAAAATGCCTTCATATGACCCAATCATAAAGGCTATTTCTGAACCAAAGTTCCACATAGAGACAAAGCTCAAAGGTTGTAGTAAGTATTGACTACAGCTCTCAAGGGAAATTGTTCCAGAAAAACAGAATGACTAGAAAAGTAATGGTTTGAAAATCATTCTATTACTTTTTATCACTGGCTAATCTCTAGCTCTTTAAGCTTCAGGATCAAGATAATCTTGTATCAAGTCTATTTATATTATAATGGTCCTTCTATTTGTGATACATTTCTTTTTCTTACTGTATAAGTTTCTATGTACAGTCTGTATTCTTAGACTATATCCACGCACACACACACACACAAAAAAAAGCCACATCAGTAGAATAAGTTTTTTTTTGTTTTTTTTTGTTTTTTTTTTTGTCCATTCAGCCTGCTATAACAAAATATCATATACTGGGTGGTATATAAACAACAGAATTTATTTCTCAGTCTGGAGGCTGAGAAGTCCCATTTCAAGGCTTAGGCAGATTCTGTGTCTGATGAGAGCCTACCTCCTAGTTCATAGGTGGCCATCTAATTGCTGTGTCCCCACATGGTGGAAGGAGCAGGGGAGCTCTCTGGGGTCTTTTGTAAGGGCACTAATCCTATTCATGAAGGCTCCACATTCATGACCTAATCACCTACCAAAGGTACCACCTCCCAACACTATCACCTTGGGTGTTCGGATTTCAACATATGAATTAGGGGAAGCACAACATTCCTGTCATTGCAGCGGTCGATCGTAACTTTTGATCCCATGGTGCAAAGATATGCTTGGATATCATCTCAGTCTTGTTTCTGATGTAGCCAAATTTAAATCATCTTAAATGTTCATTAATAATGGTTAAATAAATGCTCAAATTCAATGGCTGCCCACAGGCATTCATTACAAAGAATAAGATGGGTCCAGGTATACTGATGGGGAAATATTCACATCATATTGGAAGAGAAAAAACAAGTACGATGTAATACATACAGATCTTGATGATTTATGTAAAATGCTTGGGTGAAATGCATGTTGGAATTCAGAATCTCACATTTTAGGAATAATATGCAGGATATTCTCTTTGTGTGATAGCAGACTAGGTAACTGAGACTCACACTCTCAATGGGGACAATGATGAACTAAATATTTGCTAGAAGACATTGGAGAACCTGAACATGGTGAAGAATTACTCTGACCCAAAAGGTCAGAGGCCCAGGAAGATGAGCCCAGAATTGGGGGGTTACTTTTTCCCTAAGTGCATTTGCAGTTTCCAGAGAAGGTTGAGAGGCCAAGCCACATTTTTGACAGCTAGCTCTTGAGTTAGATGGTTTGGAGACACATTTAATAAAATTTCTCGTGAGTCCTACAAGATCAAGCCACAGTTGCCCACAGTGCTGACTAACTATATTATATATAATCTTGTGTTGGTTTTTCCTCCTTCCCTAATTCATATCTCCTATTGCTAACACTTCTTCCTGGAATCACATTCCTAAGTAAATTTCCTGCATGCAAGCATTTACCTCAGGCTCTGCTTTCAGAACAGTTGAGTCTAAGGGACTAACAGATATAGAAAGTAGAATGTGATAAATTCTAACATATGGGAAGTTTGCAGTCCTCAAAAAAGAAGAGAGAATAGGCCAAAACTACATTTAAAGAAATAGTGATTGAGGTATTTCCAAAACTGACTAAGATGGATATCAAACCACAGATCCAAGAAGCCCTACAGAGTCCAAGTAGGACAAATAAAAACAAGGCAACTCAAAATAACACTAAAAAAAGAAACAAACACAACTGGTATTCAAAAACCCAGAAATGATATATTTACTTGGTTTGATCCTGTTATGCAGCAAAATTCCCAACGATGAAGGAAAAACTTATATAATTCAGACTAGAGGTCATTTAAACTCAAATTGGCATCACCACCCCTCTTCACTCCCCCAAAAAATCTGTCTTCAGGAAGCCTTCCTCTTGGCCGGGATTTAGGATTCTTCTTTCCCCTTATGGAGGATAACAATTCATAGCGCTACTCAGAGGTTAACAGTAAGGTGCCTTAAAAAAATAAAACAATAAAGTAAAATAAAATAAGATGCTGTTGTCATTCCTCAAAGCTCTCCTAGGAAGCGGCCACACATTTGGTTTCAGCATAGGGTCAAGGGTGGAGCCAGACAAGCTCCAACCAAACCCTAGCTTTGCCACTTCTCTCACCTCTTCTGGGAAGTGGAGACAGTATCTTCCTTGGAAGGTGGTATGAAGAAACTGGTGATGGAATCCAGAACCTGCTCACAGCCTCCTTGCATGGGACACTCAGTAATGTGTTTTTTTTTTGTCATTGCCAATGTTAGATGTCTTGAGGGCAGTGGGTGCAAGTCAGGTCTGCAAGGACTAATACAGCTCATGTGATTCTACAGCCAAATCTCCACTTCTGTCAGACTGAGGAAATGGGATGAGACTTCACACTACTTTCTTTACCATAAACACAGCTGCTGTGGGCGAACCAGGGACAAGTGTGTGCCTGAATCGCCTCTGATTTTGGATAAATGTGCAAATCATGTTAGCCATGGTTTCTTTTCCCATTTTTATATTTAATTGGTACATATTTTCCTTTGTGAATTAATCATATTGAAAGTTGAATTTTCCCTTTGAGCATGAACACAACTTTTGTTTTGTTTCAGCCACTTTAAGTAGGAATTATTCTTAACGGGCATTGCCTAATTGCTTTTCTGAATCTGAGTTTACTTTGCCTTGGGGATTTACGGTTATTGCGAATGTAATATATTACGATGGTCTGAGGTGTACTTAATGTTCAAGATTAGCTGTCTCTGAATTCAGTCTAACAGTTCTGTGCTTCGACACCATCAGATGTCTCATTTCTGCTTTCGCTGTAGCTGCCTGCTCTTCTCTCCTTCTCAGTGGCACTTTGACCTTTGTCAGGATGTTTCAGTTAAGATAAAATCCAAAGCAGGCCCAAGGATAGCGTGGACTTGTTGTAGCTTCACCAGGCCTCTGTGCATCTCCCCTGGGCTCCACGTCTTCTGCATTGCTCTGTTCTCAGGCAGGCCATACCCCGTAGTGACTAAAAGTCTACGTAATACTCATTTCCATGTCCTGTCTTGTTCTGTGGGTGCAATAGCCCCTTGCTCAACAGTGTCTACATGTCTGCTTCCCAGTGGCCCTGACAGTGTCAAATGGCTAGGCTAGAACCTGTCACTTAGATCAGAGACCATGATGCTGGGAATGACCATCACAAAGCCCCTGACAAAATAGGGGACAAGATAGTCCCCGACATAAATCAGGGTGTTTACCAGAGAGGAGCAGAAAGGACAACCTGACCTGTTAAAAGTCTATTTGTAAGCCTCTCATGATGCCCTGCTGAGAAAGTGTTGATATAGACTATTATTCCAGTAAGAGAATCATCTTGCCACAATTTTCCGCAGCACCCAGAGGTGCCCAAGTGTGGCTTTTCCCAGTGAGTTACCTTTCGGTGCATCCAGACTACCTCTGAAGGGCATCTGGGAATCCACCCAGCATCCCTCCCCCCGTCCCTGACGCACAAGAACAAATACCATCCCTGAGAACAGCCATTCCCAGCTCCTGTTCTGGAGGTGGCAGTGGGTCCAGGCTTTGTGGGAGCTGACCTGGCCTTTCACATTCCACCTCTCATGATACCAGTTCAATGTGCCCTTCTCATAAAATCTGTTTCTCTGTCTAATGAAGAATACAGAAAACCTCATTCACCCACATCTAGAATAAGGACAACCTGGGATATGAGATGTCTCATAGGCAAGCCTGTGCTTCTCCTGTTTGCATCTGTGATATTGATTTGGCTGCCTAGAGATCTTTTTGTATCCTTATGCTCATCTATGTTCTCGATCAGCACTCACCACAAGACCCTGGTAGCTACTGACCACGTGTGGCTATTGAGCACTTGAAGTGTATTCACTGCCTTTGAGGAAATGAATATTCCATTTATTCTATTCCATTCTATCCTATTTTTTATTTATATCTAAACGGCCACATGTAACTAGTGTATTGGATAGCATGATAATCTAGAGACAGGTATGTTTACCAAATAACAGCCTAAGACAGGTGACCTTTTATTGTGTACTTCCTCCCTGTCAGATGATGGATTTTTTTTTTTTTTTTCAAGTGTTCTCTTTTGGGTAAATAGGCTCCTTCCAGTTTTGTCCTTAGAATATATTCGGCAACAAAGAATAGCATTATTTGATTAAAAAACATGAACCCACAGAAGAGAATGAACAAAATAAATCTTTATTTGAACTGCTATGCTGATCATTCTGAGGCTCTGGTCACTGTTCAAGTTTCTATCTAAGCCATTTCATAAACAGCATCATAACTACAGTCCGCCAACTCCAGCACAAATGTGACAGGTCCAATGCACAGTTCTCTGTGGCTGAGCGCTGCAACAACATACCGTCACTCAGTATATGTGTGCTATGGCCACCCGCTGGGTGTCACAGGGTACTCACCCAATCACCTGGAAGGCCAGTACAGCTACAGTCTACAGTAAGTGTTCAATACCTCAGACACCCCGTGAACACCTGCCCAGGTGGAAGGCACTACAGACTGGGGTAAAGACAAGGATAACATCTCCCTGTCTTCAAGGGCCTACCTCAGTAGGCTACCTTCCCTTGTACTCCATGTCATTGGCCCTGGCATGCTTGGCTAATAAACAAACACTTTGTAACCTGATGATTTATATCATCTTGCTAACGTGAAGAGACTTAAGGCACATTGAAAGAGAGACCAGATTCAGAGCTTCAGCTCTCATCACTGGACCTCAATGGTTCTTACCCCAACCACAGAATGAAGGACAGGCAGAGTTTGCAAGGGTCTGGTTCTAGCCAAATCAATGCTCAAAATTACCTGAGTTTTCATTGGCTTCCCTGAACCACCCCACAAATTTGGAGCATGTTGACCTCCTACCAAGAGGCATCCAAGGTGGAGAGGGGGAATCTTTCTCTATCACAGCTTGGAGAAACAGAACATGTGACTGGAGTAGTTTTAGAACCAAAAGGTGAGCACATTCATGTCATCACTTTAGGAACTGAGTTTCATTATTAACAAACCAAGGGAGGTAGAAATATATACCAAAAAAGGACGCTGTAGGCTCGAGCATTCTCAAGAGCTGTGTTTAGACAGAGGTACAAACATTTCCAATTCAGATCTCCAAATATGCTGAACAATAACTAAATGTGCACCATCCAATCCTCTCCATGTTTTCCTATGCACGAAGGCAGGAAAGGAGATTTTCATAACTCTGTTACAAAGAGCATGTACAAGCAAGCCTGTACAAACATACATTTTGTATGTATGCTTGAATGTTATTCTTCCAAAATATAAAAATCAAATATCTGCCTCTGGTATCTAGAAACAACTGGAAAAAGTATGACTGCTTCTAGTTTTCAATCACCTGAGTAGGCATGCTTAACCAGGTTTTTAACCTTCCCGTGCTGTCTGGAGAGGACACAGAAACAGAGACAATAGGGACTTTTCATTCCAGGAAACCAAATTCAGGACAAGTAGAACAAACACTAAGCACATTGGACAGTACCCTTGCACAGTTCTCCAGTGGAAAGAAGGGAGGGATTTTAGCATAGACTTCATTCACATTAGGGGTACCGTGGATTATGTGCTGGGAGGCGACTGCTCTGGGACATCTGGGACATCAGAATAAGTAAACTGAGAGCTATGTTCTAGAAGGATAAGTTAGGAGCTTGGGCACTAGGTCTTGGTCAGAGCCCATTACTGACTAGTAGCTTTCTTGTCTTTGTGCTGCTGGTAGGCACTCAGTATTTCTGCGATGATGCCCGGGTCCTCCAGGGTGGTTGTGTCCCCCAGATCCTGAGCTCTGCCCAAGATTATCTTCCTCAGGAGCCTCCTCATGACTTTTCCAGACCGAGTTTTTGGAAGACGTTTCACTATCTGGCAAGGAAGGGGTACGGCATTAGAATCTGGGGTGGCACCCAAACTTCAGAAGCCTCCGACTGCACTGAGACAGGAAGAACTCTGTTTAGGGGATAGTGGAGCCCCTGGTCTCTGGTTTCATCCTCCTACAATCTGGACCTGAAGCTGTAATCAACCCAAAGGGCAGGATCAACCATGAGTCATGCTGAAGCCTCCACTGAGCCAGGGTTCATCTGAACCTGTGTTCATCTCACTGCTGACACCTCTGTTTCTCCCATCAGCTACACTAGTAAGGGCCCCCAGGTAGCAAGAGAACCAAGCACATGCCACAGCGCCTCGTCTCCACTCCCTGGCCTGGGCTACGGTTGGTTTTGTCTTATATATCATGTCAGAACTACTTAATGATGTGAGAACTGCTTAGTGTTTGAAAATTTAGCATTTTATATTTTCAAACAGCCACAGCCCATTCAATGTCAATAGCAATACATTAGAAGCTGTGTTTGGGCACTTTAAACGTGACCGGTCTTTTGAAAGAGTTCAATTCATCTTAGGGAAGTTCAGGTCTTCCTGAAACTCTGATCCCCAAGTCATAGTCTGACCATGTGCTGTATGGAGTGAGGCCTCAGAGGACTACTCCCAGACCAAGGAATGCCATGGGGAAAATGTTAACAAAGAAAGGGATGAAAAGCTAACCAGGCTGAGAGGGTAGCCCGATTCTTCCACAGAACTGACTCCAACACAGGCTCCCTCAGATAGGGTCTAGCGGCATCTCCTTTCCTGGCACCAGAAAAAGTGTTCAGAAACCGCATGGGGGCTGAAGAACTCTGGTACTTTCCACGTGTTTCTCTATTTAAAAACCCTAATGTTTTCTGTTCCTGTAACCAATCTCCATATGCCAAAGAGAGAGTGTAATCTTGCCCAGCACTACACCCTGAACCAGCAAGCTGAGCAAACTTCTGCCACTACATCCATCTCCCTGCCTTTCTCCCACTCCCTTTGACAATGCAACCATCCACTACCCTCAACTGCCACCCAGGAAACCAGCTGTGTCAGTTTTGCTGCGATGTTAGTTGTGGGAAGTGAGAAGAAGGCATGAGATGAGACAAGCAGTGCAGTTGTACCTGAGGCGGAGTCCACTCACCAGAATCTGATCAGGCACGGCGTATTTGGCAATCTTGGTGGCCACTGTGGACCTTAGCTCACTTATCACCATGTCTGAATCACTTGTGTCATCTTTCAACACAATAAAGGCAAATGCAGCTGGAAGGAGAGTGAAGTTTGGGGATGTATTATCCAGGGTATTATATACAAATCGCCGTAAATCCAACGGATTTCAAATCATATGTTGGTGACCTTGTAGCAGCTGGTTTCTTTAGTTGCAGCCCTCAAATGCATTATCATTTTCATTCAAAGTGGAAGTGATTCTGTCAGCTCCACTGAATGTCCCAGGTGGGTGGGCATGCTTGGTTGAGAGCTTGGCACCATAGCTCTGGTGTTGACCGGCTGTGCATGTGGCCTTGAACACAGGACTTAACCTCTCTAACTGTCCACACACCTGTGAAATAGCCTGTAACACGGGCTCATAGGAGATTTACTATCAGCTCCCATGAGATGGTGCAAGGGAACATGGCACATGGCACTAATCTCATGCACATGTGTCCAGCACTGTAAGCACTAGCCATGGTGGACATCTAAATTTAAGTTAAATTAAGTTAAAAATGTAGTTCCTCAATCACATGAGCCACACGTAGCCAGTGGCTACTGTACTGATAGCACATACGAAGGACAGTTGCATCATGGCAGAAAGTCTGTTGGGCGACACTGGCCAACCCATACTTTAGCATAGACACTATACTGTATTTGTGAATATCCTACCACGTTCTAGAAAAGACTAACAGTGGCTCCCACAGGTCTCTAAATTCATTAATCTCGTACATGGGATCCAATTCTATTTTTTCTCCATAGAGCAGTCAGTCACTCGTCCCAGCACCATCTTGGATTGCCTGTGCTTTCCCCACTGACGTGCAATGTCCCCCTCTCTCATACATGAAGTTTCTTTATATGTGAAACCCTCTTTATTGTTTATTTGCCTGTTTATTCTTATACCGTTTCCACCCCATCTTAATGAATTCTCCCTCTGGCACATATCACCTAACGTACTATGTAGTTTCCTCATTGGTCATGTTTATTGTCTGTCTCTCTCTTTTACTCCCTAGCCCCTCCAGCATGTCACCTCTAGTGTCTCGTCTCTTTTTCTCACTGCTGTGTCTTAGCATCTAGAACAGTGCCTGGGACATAGCAAGTACTCAAAAAATATTTGTTAAATGCACCAATGAATTACTTTCCTGAATAAGCTACAATCTGAAGAGACCTAGAGCCTTTGCCTAAAAGCCACTCCCCGTTCCCCATTTCCACCTGGCAAACACCTATTCATCCCTCAAAATCCAGTTCAGCTACCTTGCACTCTGTGAAGCCTCTTCTGACTCTGTCCATGAAAGTAGCCATGGCACTTGCTGTGTGTAAACAGTTGTTGGTCTCCCCGCACCCCTGAGCCCCATTTTTCTCTCATCTTGGTATTTGAGATGCCAGGTAGTTCAGGCTCACGCCACAGGGGCTCAGAAGAAAAGGGCATAGCCAACACCTGAGCCAGCTACGAAGGCCTACTGAGAAGGGTCTGCGGTGTATTTAACTATAGTTAATTAAAATTTTAAAACCACCAAAGCAACACATACTGATTACCAAAATGTAAAACACTGTAGAAGTACATAAAATAAAACTGCATCTCTCCTCCCTGACTCTCTCCCTTCATGCCTCGAAAGGCAGTGCAGTATGATGATTAGGAGAGACTGCTACCTGCGTGTAAGTCACTTAACTACTCTGTGCCATAGTTTTCTACATGTAAAATGGGAGCTAACAGTACCTGCCTCATGGCTGTGAGTCAGGATTAAGTGATGACAGCCCCTGCACAGAACTCAAAATAAGCAGGTTCTGAGGGGCTGCTGGCTGCTGTCCCCAGAACCAAATTTTAAAGTTAACTTGTAGTTGTATACTGCCACCTTTTAAACCTTAGTGGCAACACACTGTACATGCTACCCTGGGTGTTTCCCCTTTGTCTCTAATTGGTGCCTTTTCCTGCCAGTCACTTGTATCTCTAATGAGATAGGACTGAAATGACCCTGGATTGTTAAGTTCTCAGCAGAGATGGATCAGGAAAGCTGACGTGGGAGGTGAAGCCAGCTAACAGCTAGGAGGTGCGCGAGGCTGAGTTCAGGAACTGGTGAGATAGGCCAATGACAGAAACACAGCACATCAGTCCGATCGAGTGCAGACAGGGAGTGGAGACAAATAAATGTACGACAGCTTTCGAAGATGGCTTTAGAGCATACCAAGAAGAGTTCAATTCTGTAGCCGTTCTGGTTATTTCTGTATTACAAATGGACAGATGGTCAAATTTATAAGAAATCAGGAAAATGCATATCATCATACCCATGATATATGAATTCTCCCCCACCAGCCTGGCAGACATTGAAAGGCCTGACAATACCAAAGTTCCTTAGGATACCAGGAAGCAGCGCTGAGCGTTGCTGGTGGGATCATGAAGTGGCCTGAGGCCTCTGAGCGTCACTCATGAGGACTTGTTGCCATCTTCACCTCCTTGATCCCTAAGAGCCTAGTCTCATGTTAACAAAGAGAAAGCAGTCTCAAGGGCACACCTTTCTTATGGCAACTGAACGTGCCTTTTTTAGAGCACTGAAATTAATGTTAAATTTTACAATGGGTCAATTTAGAGAAAGTGGAATAAATAATGAACGGCAGTACACAAATGTAAAAAGAAGGCAGGTGACATTTGGGACACACTTGACACAGGATATTCCTGACAGCGGGAGAAAGAACACCCAAACCTAGGCCACTTGCAGAACAGTAGAGGTCAGTTTGCCTGGCAGTGCAGCACAGGGTCAGTGAGTGTCTAGTTCACACCAGAACAGGCATTACAACACTCAGATGTTCCTACCCCTTCCCAGACTTACCTGCTTAGAAACTGGCAGACTTTGGAACAAAGTGTGTCCTCAGTAAAGAAGACAATTCTGATCACTCGTTCTCCATTCTCCCTGCATGTCTCTGTGCAGTGGGAACCACAGGTCAAATTCCTCCAGTCCCAGAGCAGCAAAAGAGCCTGCTCCATGGCAAACTCTGATCAGCCAGAACGGCTACAGAATTGACACCTGATGCTGTGCACAAGCACGTGCAAGGAGACAATGTAAGCAAGGCAGGGTACTTCATCATAAGGCCTCTGTACCAGGGCCACCAGAGGTACTGTGGACAGAGAAGCGAACTCCCCACACTCAGCCGGGGCCAAACAGCTCAGGGCCACTTGTAGATGAGTGTCCTTAAAGGACAGGAGAGCTAGAGCATCTCAGAAAACTGACTCTAGTCTAATGGGCATGCCGTTCAGGCTCCTCATCCAAAAACGCCACTTGCAAAAGAAGAAAACCAAGAGCTTCACCCATAAACACCCTGCTACCCTTCCTCCAGAGTCTGTTCTTTTTACAGAAGTGCCATGATGGGCACCAAGACCAAAGATTAGAGGAGCTCCTTCTATGGCGCTCACCTTCTCCTTTGATGTCATGGGGGTAGCCAATGACAGCAGTCTCCGGCACTGCAGGGTGGCTAGCCTGCACAGAACAAAATGGCACAATATGTGAGAGGTGGAACACCTGACTCAGCAAATTACAGCTCCCAATCTGAGACCAATATGACTTGCACTCACCATTGCATCCTCGATTTCTGCGGTCCCCAGTCGGTGGCCACTTATATTGATGACGTCGTCCATTCGCCCTGTGATCTGGTAATAGCCGCCCTTAGTTCGGTGAGCCCCATCTCCAGAGAAGTAGTAGCCTGCACCATAGCAAGGGAATTCAGTGTCAGTACCTCCGAACCAGGACCCAGTGGGGCTCCCTTCCTTCCATAAGGGACACAGTGGGACTCTATAGAAGAAAGCTCCAAAACCCTGCACCCTGCTGACTTCCTGGTGCTGGCCCTCATTGCAACTCCTCATGGAGACACTCTCTAGATGTGCTATGTGGCTGTGTGCTAGTGAAAGAGCAGATGGCTCTGAGACAGCAGAATGCAGTGAAGATTGCAAATGTCTGAGCAGAAGGCATACAAGGAGCGGACTCAAAAATGAGTCTCGTTTACAAGTTTGAGACTGAAGACTATGGGTGCCAACAGGCATACTGTGTGTGTACACTTCCAATCCAATGACACAAAAGCAAACTGGGAGAAAAAATCAAAAGTAAACCAGAAGAAAATTTGTAGCCGTCAAGATAGTTTTCCAAGATGGTTTCTTCACTCTTCTTTCTTAACAGCCTCAGGCGTGCTGTCTCACTTAACCATGAGGTTCCTGAGATAGGTCTCTTCCCATTTTCGACATAAAGTCAGGGAGGTAAAGAGGGAGGGGGTGGGATTCAAAGTCATGCCTCAAAGGTGCCTGTCCTACGCTCACAGTCACTGTGACCTTAGAAACGTTTTCTGAGAATAGGGTTCCACAGCAGGTGTAAAGGCATGACATGACCCACATTAGCCAGCTCACCTGGATAAGCCTTGAAGTAGGCATCCACAAACCTCTGGTGGTCTCCGTAGATGGTCCTGGCCATGCCTGGCCAGGCCTGGGAGAAGCACAGAGCCCCAGAGACGTCATTGCCTTCCAGGATGTTCCCCTGCAGACCCAGGAGATGCAAGTGTGAGAGAACAGGCAGATTCTGGTTGAGAAGCAATGAACTGACAATCAGCATTGTTCTCCTAATTGGTTGGTTTGAGGCAGAAAAACGACAAGTGTTCCCCAAAGGAAATGTCCAGAGCTTTCTCCTCTGCAGGGGCTTCTGAAGAGAACCTGGGCTCCCCCCACAAGGCGATTTAATCTACTGTGTCTCTAAGAGGAGACTCTGCAGTGAATACTATGTGAAGACACAGGCCTTTCTGCCACCTACCAGGCAATGAGCACACATGACATGGGCAAGTGGACAGAGGAGGCCAGGAAGGTAGAAAGGAACACCAGGGAGCTCAGTGGGGTGCACATGGAGGAAGGAGACACCCTTGTGAGGCCCTTACGCACCTTCTCATCTATGAGAGCTGGGACAATGCCAAAGAAAGGTCTCATCGCCATGGAGGGGAGAATTTCTGCCCCTTCTTCTGAGGGCCGCGGTGCGATGCAGATGCCACCCGTTTCTGTGGGAACAACAGGAATGAAACACCGATGGGCTTACAGGCTAGTGACATGTTTATCCAGGCCATGTCATCAAGGGTCTGGGACAGACACACTGGCTGGTGCTCTCTCAGAGTGAGAGGTGGGTGAAAATGCCCATTTAGGGGAAAGAAACGGCCCCCAGTGTCACAAGGAATTTTATCTGAGCCAAAACTAAACTTGTGTTCTGGTCTCCTCTACTGCAGAGTGGGAGTGGGGCCCAGACAGAGGGCACAGTCCCAGGCGTCGCAGCTCTGTGGCCCAGAGGGTGCTGCTTCTCCTTCTCTGAGGCCCTGCTCAACCAGCCCTCACTTCAGTAAGAAAGGCAGAGCCCATCTGCCTGCACAGGGAAGATGAAGAATTGCTTCTGGACCAGTGCCCATTCCATACAGAACAACAAAAACAGACGCCCACAAATTCTGTTTTCACATTATTTCTCTGGCATTTCCTCACAAGGCTCAGCTGTAATCTCAGTCCTGTGCCCTCACAAGGCTCAGCTGTAATCTCAGTCCTGTGCCCTCCTGAAAAAATGAAAACTGAGCTATTTAGAATGTCCCATTTTCTGGCTTCTCAAAAGATGAGGCCTCAGCCACATCAGTAGTGGTCTCCTGCCCCAAACATTCTAATAAGTCAGATACTCAAGAGAAGATGGGGAAAATCTGAACAAAATGCTACAGAGAAAACGCCTTTCTCACTAAAGTTTAGATTTAGACTCACAGTCCCTTAAACAATAGGGCCCATCCTCATCACATATACTTACATTCAGAAAGTGATCCCTATGAGGAAAGTGAACATTTAGCTGAATACCTACTATATATCAGGCCTTGAGCAACATGCATTAGTGGTATCCCCTCATTCCATCCTCACCCAGGGTCTGGAAGGAGCACCACCATTTTACAAATGAGAAAACCAAGGCTCAGAGAAGCCATTACACATCCCAAGTCCTACACTGCAAAATAGCTGCCACCAGTCTCCACCTCCAAGCTTCTTTGGTCCATATATCAGGTTTTCAACAACCACATTTAAGGGTTGAGGCATGGGTAGTGTTGCACTTGCAGAGCCTCATACCTGACCCCTGCACTTGGTGCTTAGTTGTATGTTCTCAGTGCACTAACATGAGAGCACAGCTGTTGTGGGAGGAACCCACCAGGTAAGCCCTGCACCCACCTACCCAGCATGCCCTGACCCTCCTCCTCGAGGACGCTCTCACCTGTTTGCCACCAGGTGTCCACCAGTGTACATCTGCTGTCCCCTACCACCTTGTGGAGCCACTCCCAGGCCTCTTGGTTGATTGGTTCTCCCACTGAAAAAGAAAAAAGATGTTAATGGACCTCAATGAATATGAAACTAGAAGGAATAGATTATTAAGGGGAAACAGCTATATAATTTTCCTGAAAGACATAAAAGAAGATATAAAAAAGCAGTGAAATCTGCCACACGTTATGGCCATCAAAGAAATAAAAATTACAATGAGATATTTTCACCATTAGAGGGTTAAAAATATAAAATAAAAAAATTGACAAGAATGTAGGGGAAACAATATCACATGCACTATAGGAGTATAATTTGGTATGGCAATCTTGGGGAGCGATTTGGGTATTTCTCTTAACATCTAAAAGTGAATGATGCAACTACTATGGACAACCTTTTAGGGCAGATTATACCAAAGCTAAATATAGGTTTATCCTATTATTCAAAAATTTCACTCTTGGCACACACCCCACAGAAATGAGTGCATACGTCTACCGAAAGTGGACACGTACAAGGATGTTTACAGTGGCCAAAATCTAAAACCTATCCATCGAGAGTGGAATAGAGAAATAAAGAGTGCTGTATTCATGTAGTGGAATACCATACAGCATGAAAATGAGTAAGCCACTGCTACACTCAACAGGGATGAACCTGAGTCACAGCCCTGAGAGCAACCGCAGTAGGGACAAGAGTAACGCATGCCACACAAGCCCATGTATATGAAGTTCAAGAACAAGCAAATCGGTCCACACTGAGAGCAATCAAGTAGTAGTCATGGTTGAGGGCTCTTGACTAGGAGCGGGCATAGGGGAACATTCTAGACACTGAAAATTTCTACAGCTTAATCTGTGTGTGGTGTGTGTGTGTGTGTGTGTGTGTGTGTGTGTGTGTGTGTGTATATATATAGTGTGTGTGAGAGTGTGTGTGTGTGTGTGTGTGTGTGTGTGTGTGTGTGTAAATAGCTCCCAAGCTGAACATCTGGCATTTGTGCTTTTCACCGTATTTTACACCTCAATAGAAAGGGGAAAGTGTTCACACCCTATGACTTATTGCCAGTTCCCAGTACCTACCTGCTATGGTCTGAAGGTGTGTGTCCTCCAAATTTATGTTGGAATCTCAGCCCCTAAAGATAATGGTATGAGGAGGTGGGGCCTTTGGGAGGTGCTGAGATCATGAGGGTGGAGCTCTCAAAATAGGATTAGGATTCTTATAAAAGAGACCCTGCAGAGCCCCCTCCTGCTTTCGCTACATGAGGACAGGGCAAGAAAGCACTGTCTTTGAAACAGAAGAGGGCTCTCACCAGAACTTAACCATGCCCACGCCTTTATCTTGGGCTTCCCAGCCTCTACAACTGTGAGAGATAAATTCCTGTTGTTTATAAGCCTCTCAGTCTGTGGTTTTGTTATAGCAGCCTGAACAGCTAAGACACTACCCTAATAAAACATCCACACCAGATTAGAATTCAGCCAGAACTAGCAGATTTAGACATATTGTTGCTAAAATACTGAAATACTCTCATGCCAGTTGCCTCTTGATCAGGAGCACCCATGATGTAGCAGCTAACCAAGACCTTTCCTGGCTGTGGTCTCCCATGCTGGTCATACAGGTGGCTGAGTGGTGTGTGTATCACTTCTGCACTCACACATGCCCAGAAAAGAGGCAGGAAGATGCCATTTTAGCACTGGTTGATACTGAGAAACTGCCAATAGCCCCAGTAGCCAACCACAGGGACATGACTGCAAGGATCATGGCAATCCACACAAAAGGGTGTGAGCAAGTTTTCAAACATGGGGGCAAAGCCATATGGAAATCTCTGCCTATTGTTGAGTTAAAATAAACATCACAGGATAATAGTACAGCTTGATCACATTCATGTTAAAGAATCAACTCAAAGCCGAGCTGTGTTTTTGCATAAGAATATAACTTTGAAGAAGCTGCGGGAAGGTGAACAAGCAATAGGGTCCCCTGGAGCAGCATTCACGAAGGATGTCATCTTTTGTTGCAAATTACCGAGTTTTTCTTTTAACAATAAGAATATATCTGTGCATTACTTGTAAAATTAAAAGTTAAAAAAAATTTCAAGAAATATGTATCTTGGGGTAGAAGTCTTGAGCGAGCTGGATTCTGCCAACTGGTAAGAGTAAATGAAATCAACACACCCAAGTCTGGAGTGCTGTGAGGGCTAATCCAGTTGCCTAGAATGGTCCTGAGCTATGACCGCAGCAGACCAACACAAAGCTGGCCCTCGTCAGATAGGAAGTATACTGGTCCCTAGTGCTGCTTGGTGCCCCATGCAAGGAGTTGCCAGGTTATTTTTCGCCAGCCTGTCAGCACTGCTTACTGATAACCTGGTCTTTTGGAAACCCCCACAGGGTTCTGCTATTGGCACTGGCCAAATGGCAGCAATATGACTCCCAGACAAGCAAAGTACTCAGAGCCCAGCTGAACCTCATATGGGCTCCCTGGTGCAAAAGGGTCCCTGCATGCATCAGTAGTACCTGATCCAAGAGAGGAAGATCTAAGAGTGAGTCTGGCCATGACTTTTATGGAAGGAGAACCGCAGGGACTTTGAGGGATCCCTGCCCGAGGCAGCTTTCTGCAGAGACAGACCCCACTCTAACACAACTGCTAGAGCACCTAAAGTGCTCAGAGCATGTGCCTTGTCATTTGGGTCTTTGTGAGTTTTCCTCAGCAACTAAATCCCACAAGTGCATATGGCAAATCAAACCTCCCTCCAACCCTGTCCCCACCTAACTCCCTAGGCCCACTCAGGTAACCTTGCAGACAATACCTGGAGAACCTGAGATGTTTCGATGGCCCTGGACATCCCTCTACTTGCTTTTGGTCCCCACCTGCTGCCTAGCCCAGAGTGTAGGGACGCATCATGAGTCCTCTCCAACGACATGGGGTCCCAGTCAGGAGTGCACAGGCCTTACCTCCACAGCACCAACATGCCAAGAGAGGCAACTCAGACTCCCCACCACCTAGAAGATGGCCCAAAGCACTTTCTTCTGCCCCCGCTTAGAAAATTCAAAGGGCTTGTTCATCCAGAAACAAACTGACACTGACCACCAAGCACGCCCTGAGCAGAGAGGAGCTGGTTGCATGAAAAGGCAGCTTTCAGGCAGCGCTGCCTAATGACTTCTGTCCCAGAGAAGCCAGAGTCTCAGGTGAAGTCCTCAGGGCAACATCTGGGTGCTCAGTTTCACAACAAGCAGTCAGCCCCCACCTGGCCTGCTGAGTTTTCCTGCATGTGGGCACAGCAGTGCTAAAGACACAGATGGCTGTGACTTCTGTGAGCTCACTGCCTGGTGAAATGGTCAGCATGAGGACAGATATCTCAACTGAAGTCAGGTCATCTAAAAACTGACAGCCCGAGGTCCAGAGAAGCCAAAGAAATCCCCAGGAGACGTAGCACAGAGAAGGGCCTACAGGGAGGGTCAGGTACCTGAGAGGTGGGAGGGGGCAGCAGGGTGCTGCAAGCACAGAGGGCAGAGCAAACCAGGCCTCCAAGTCCTGTACCAGTACTGCATGCCCTTGCTACTGACAAATAAAGCACGCACACTGTCCTTTTCAAAGGACACACTGGCAGAAAGACAAATCCCTAGGGGTACCTGCCCCAAATGTTCTTCCTCCATGAAAAACCACCAAGCAGATCCTTGTATTCACCAAGGAGCATAGAGGGCCTCCTGCCTTGTTTTCCTTCCTGACCACATCTGACAACATGTGGAGGAGCAGAAATGAAACGCGTCAGGGAAAAGCAGAGGGAACAGGCAAGGCTTCCCAGTGCCATATGAACAAACCCCATGTCACCTTTCCCAAAAGTCTTCATGTGACTTGGCAATATTTATCAACACTATGAATGGAGATTACCTTCGATCTGGCAACTACCTGCCTGGAAATATCCAAAGTGAGAGCAGTGCACAGCACAGAATGACATTTCTTACAGTGCTTGGGAATAATCAGCGCCCAGCATCAGAGGAATGCTGAGTGAACTGCAGTGCACTTCCACAGGACAATCCCGTGCAGCCACAAAGAAAGGACACAGGACTTACCTTACTGAGTTGGTAAGGATTCACAATAAGGATTAAGTACAGAACTGAGGCACAGATAGTTCCCGGAATGCTGTGCCCCAGACTGTTAACAGCTGTGGTCTCCAGGGAGGGGCTGACCTCTGCTTCTTACTCAATGCAGCCTGGCATTGTTTGAATTCAAAGAAATGGCCACGTAGTTTTCATGGTTAAAATCACTTAGAAGCCTGAACTGGCTCTGAAAGATGACATGCATTCCCTCTCTGACTGCAGAGCAGTATTCACCTGACCCCAGGGTCCGCAGGGAGGAGCGGTCGTACTTCTTCACCCAGGCATCACCATATTTCAGCAACAGCCGGACAGCCGTCGGGGCACCATAGAACTGATTGATCTTCAACCTCTGCACCATCTCCCAGTACCGACCTACAAAACAGCCCCAATTCAGTCAGTCTGAGAGCCCATCGGACATTACCTATTTTAACCTAATTTAGAGATCAGTCAACAGCACTGGGTACTAAATATGTGCAAACACCTGCATTGCTCACAAAAACGAGATTCAACATTTATCACTGGGATAGAAAGGGAGCCCCCTGGGAAAAGGTTCGCTGTGGCAGTCATCCCGCCCCCCCATTCCCATCTATTGGCAGGCCCATTTGCAAACAGCCTTCACCTGGCTCTGGACAGCTGCATTCACATGGTATACCCACATGATAAAACTAATAAGTTAAAAGAATGTTACTCTGAATTTAAAAATAACCCATGTAGCATTAACCTAGAGCTTGTGTTCAGTTGCATTTAAATGGTCTCTAAAATGGTAACTGGTGCTTCCCCTGGAATAGTGTGGCAAGGCCACCACTGTATGCGCCCTAGGGAGCAGGACAACTGCTTACTACACACCTCATTTCTCGGAAACCCCTGAAACTCACCACCATCACCCTACACACAGGGAGCTGAGTTTCAAGTGGCTGAAGTGACATGCCTGCAACTGTACCTAAGACATGGCTCTTACTCCCCTGGCTATGCCCCCTGGCTATGCCCCCTACACATTCTTCCTGGAGTGTATCCAGAGCCACCGTGCCCCCGTGGGAGGCTGGAGAGGAGCCAGGGGAGGTGACAATGATATGCTATGCACATAACTGTCAGTGCTATGGGACAGTTGGCCCTTCTAGCAGGGGCACCACTATTCAATTACATTAAAACAAATACTTGGGGACACTACGCTGAGTGGGAGGAAGATACCAAGGTGAGCAAGACATGGCCACAGCCTCTAAATGAAATCAATTCATGGAGGTGGCTCCAGCCACACCTGACATACTCTGATGGAACAGCCCTGAAGACATAAGTAACTAGCTGTAAAAGCACCCTCTGCCTAGGGGAAACTGAGGAGGTCAGTTGGCTTGGCTTCAAGGGAGGATTGGATCTAGTCAAATGGCCATAGAGGTAAGAGAACAGAGCTTTTGGTCCCTATCGGCTGCCTAGCCCTCGAAGGGTAGTTCCGAGTCAGACAGTTTAAGTTAAAGAACACTGGAGTGGGTAGTCTTGAGATGGCTTCCAGTGCCAAATTGGACCCCCTTCTATTGGTCATCTGATCTTGCGATAGACAAGGTCCCCAGTCCTGGCCCACTTGGCAGAGTCCAAGGCTCAGCACTATACCATGGGACCACAAACCATAGCCAGACCAGAATGAAGGCCCTCACTCCATCCTCCTTTAAATCTCTCCTCCTTCCTCAAGCACCCTCCTGGGGATGCTATTTGGGTTCCCAGTCCTCACCAGGGTCAGGGTAAACGGGGGTGCTCTCAAAAAGGACACTGGTTGCTCCATTGCAGAGGGGCCCATATACCACATAGCTGTGTCCTGTGATCCAGCCGATGTCAGCCACACAGCCAAAGACATCCCCCGGCTGGTAGTCAAACACAAGCTGCAGAAACAAGAGAGGCTGTCAGGGGCCCATCACCCCACATTCCCACATGTCACTAAGCATGTTCTTTAACTGTGAGATGCAAGTGCTCCAATGACCACCGAAAGCAAAGGAGAAAGTACAATGCGGTGGCTTCATGGGGTCATGGCAGTGAAAAGATGGAGTTACCGGTACACACAGCAACACACTGACTCTTGCAGAGGACAGTGAAAGAAGCCAGGCCCCAAGTTGTATACTGTATGAGCCCCAGCTTGACAAAGCTGATCTGTATGCAGAGGTCACACCAGAGTTGGTCTTGCTGGGCCTTGTGAGTAGCATGTCAGGGCCTTCCAGGAGCTGAAGACGATCCCATGTCCTGATACAGGTGGTGGCCACATATTACTCACACGTAAAACTTCATCTAGTCCTATGTATAAGGGCATCTTCCTGCATTAAGTTATGCCACAATTTTTTAAATCCCTTAAAAACTGCAAAACATTAAAGTTGAAAAGACCAAGAAATGGCTCAAGCATCATCAGTTTCTAAGAGCCTGAGAGGAATGACAGGTGTCTGAAGCATTCTTGTCAAAGGGCCCAACCTGAGCTCAATCTCATCTCTGGATCTAACTGCCCTTTGCAGGAAACATGAAGGCCCGCCAGGGCCACCAGGGCCACCAGGACTAACAGCCAAGTGCTACAACAGACAAAGTTTAAGAAAATGGAAGAGATAAAGGGAAAACTATACATTTAAAAAGGCTTAAAAGACATATCGAAAAAATGTCAGTGGAAAGAGTAAGCTGCAGGACCTAGGAATGTACATCCAGGTGTCAACTAGAGAAAGGAAAACACAAGGCAGTGATGTTGTAGAACAGGGGTCCCTAACCCCTGGGCCATGGACCATACTGGGCTACACAGCAGGAGGTGAGTGGCAGGCGAGCAAGCAAAGCTTCATCTGTATTTGCAGCTGCTCCCCACCGCTAGCTTCACTGCCTCAGCTCCACCTCAAATCATCAGGCATTATTCTTACAGCACCAGTGGCTGGTGCAACAAAGGTTAGGCACCGCTGCTGTAGAAGTCAAGATGTGAGGAGGGGGCTGAGGGCAGATGGGCTATGAAGGGGCTTCTGTGAGGCTGGTGACATTCCATTTCCAGAATGAAGTGGGTTTGCCTTATAATAATTCATTAAGCCACACATTTGATTTGGATGGTTTTCTGTATCTGTGCTCTATTTTCAATATTTTTTTAAATTGGGGGGCAAATGGCTCCAGTCTTCTGCTGCCAAAGACAAACACTGAGATTCTCCAGGAGTTTCTAGACAGCATAGTAATGGGCCCTGTGCAGCCATGTTGGGGCGAGGGTTGGGTTGGGGGGAGTGGAGGGAAGCAGGGATACTTTTAAGAATGACTGCACTTTCACTACCCTGTTGTATGAGCCCTGCTTAGATGAGCCTGGTCTTTCCAGTCACCTGGTCAGATAGTTCTCTTTGCTGCTAGCACCTGCTGGAGCTGAGTTTTACCTTCTGCAAAAGAGAGGGTCTGGTCCACAGATGATACATCGAAATCCAATCCCACCTGGAAAGTATCAGCCACTTCTCAAGGCAACCAAGGATGCCATGATAAACTGCAATCCCCCACCCACATTTAAATGAGTACTGATTTCTAAACTCTTTATTGGAATATAAAAATGTGTCATAGTGTTTGCTTTATAATTCCTATAGCAGGGGTCCCCAACCCCTAAGCCACAGACTGATACCAGTCCATGGCCTATTAGGAAACGGTGAGGTGAGTGGCGGGTGGGCGAGTAAGTGAAGCTATATCTGTATTTGCAGCTGCTCCCCAGCACTAGCATCACTGCCTCAGCTCCACCTTAGATCATCAGGCATTAGATTCTCATAGGAGCACCGACCGGTCCCTGTTGCGAAAAAGGTTAGGGGCCACGGCCAAAAAGGATGGTCTGCTGTAATATAACTTCTACGCACTAAATTTAATTTTCTTTATAAAAGTAAATCTTTTTTTTTAATTTTACTTTTAAAACATGGTCCCAGTGAGCAGGGCCTAGAAGCCACAATACTTTCAGGGACCCATGAAAATGTTTTACTTTACTTTAAAATCAGAAGGAGAAAAAATAATCTTTTAAGTAAAAGAAAATGTTTTAATATATAATAGTAATACAGTCATCTTTATACCAAAGCAGTTGTAAAATATAATTTTTGACTTTTTTTTTTTTTTACAGAGGAAGGGGCCCAGAAAGGACAAAGTGTCTAGGACCTGAGCATCAGAAGGTGACCCCGCCAGTGAGTACGTCAGAGCTGGGGAGGGCCAGATTCCTGCAGGCCCTTGAGCCAATAGATGATACAGGCATAGGTGCAAAGGGCTAAAGGCCAGCAGTAAGACTCAAGTTTGGGACCCGGACTCTTCCAGCAAGGACAGGAACACAGCTCCCCTCCCCGCCCTCTCACCTGGGCTAGTGCCACAACTCATAGCAGCCCTGCTCATGAGCAACCTGCAGGAAAACGTGAGCAACTCATACTTAAGGAAACTGCTTAATAACAGGAGTTCTAGCCCTAGATCCAGCCCCACTTAGTCCCCTGCCCAGTCCCACCAAGAAATTAGCACCTCACACCCTCCACCCACCACTGAGGCCATACCCTGTGTGTCAGGGCAGCATACAGAAGGTAGCCTGCCTGGGTGTGCACAAGGCCCTTGGGTGTCCCGGTGCTCCCGGAGGTATACAGCATGAAGAGCATGTCTTCACTGCCCATGCTCTCTGGGGCACACACAGGGTCCTCCTTGGCCATTTCCTGCAAGAGAGAAGAAAAAAAGAGCACCACCCAGGGCAGTTAGCCTCTCCCCTTCATTCAGCTTCCTTAAGAACAACTCTTCTTAGCCACTGTAAGACTCAGCAGACTGGATCAGAGCTCACCTTCTCTGGACTGCCCTAGTTCAATTCCACATGTAGAGAGGATGCAAAATAAAAGGATAAATCCAACCATTTCTGTTATATTAACTGTTTCTCTGTTTGTGGTTATTTGAGTTCCATCTTCTCAACCATGATATAAACCTATCAAATATCACAGTGGAACCCTGGACACCTCTAGGGAACCCAAATTCAGAAACACAATCTAACAAGACTCAGACCTAGTTAACCAAATAATAACCTCTCCTCAAACTATACAACATGAGGTAAACCCACCTGCTCAAGAGGGACATCCAGATTCCCCATGTGGACCTTGTTATCCGTCCTGTGAGCCACCAGGACATACTGGATGGTTGGGCAGTACTTCACGGCTTCATCCACTATCTTCTTCAACTCCACCACGCGCCCTCCCCGAAGTCCTTGGTTGAAGGTGATAACCACCTTGCACTTGGCTAATAGAGACAATGGACATTTCTGATCAGTTTCCTCCCCACTTTAACCCTCACAGCCTAGGCTGGCAGCAGCACATTCCAGGCCTAAGGCGGTGATAGAGAAAGTTCAATCTTGAGTAAAAGAATCAGCAAAAAAGTAAGAGGTATGACTGCTTTGTAATCTTTGTGCTGAGTGCAGAAGTGACAAGCATTTTCTCAGCTCTATGGAGGAGCAGGAAGTAACTGGAGATGTTACTTTGAAGCTGAACTCTTTGAACCTTCTATCATTCCTTCCCATATATCTTGAGGGCTTTCCCAGGTAAGAGGCCATACATCACCCCCAGGCACAGCCACCATGAGGTAGAGACCAAAAAATTTGGGAAGCCAGAGACTAAGCCCCAACATGTCCCTGCAGGATCCAGGGCCAAACTGCTAGAGAACAAAGACCACACCCTGGGTGGATGCCAGGAGCTGCCAGCCCCCACACTCACCTTCATGGGAAGGCCCTCGGGGGTCTGCACCTGCTCTTCAATGACCCAGCCAGACTCAGCCAGGCGCAGGGTAATGCAAGGATGGTTCAACGTGTGAAAATCAATCAATGTATTACAGCACATTAATAGAATGAAGGACAAAAATCACATCTGAATTGATGTAGAAAGAATACTTAACAAAATTCAACACTTTTTCATGATAAAAATAATGAACTATGAATAAAAGGAAACTTCCTTAACCTGATAAAGAGCAACTATGAAAACCAGCAGGTAACATCACACTCAGTGGTGGAATACAGAAAGCTTTCTCCCCTAAGATCAAGAATAAAACAAGAACATCCACATTCACTACTGCCATTCAACATTGTTATAGAAATTCTAACCAGAGCAATTAGGAAAAAGAAAAACAGAAAAAAAGAAGCATCCAGATCACAAAGGAAGAAGTACAACTATCTCTATTCACAGATGAGGTGATCTTAACTGTAGAAAATCCTAAGAGATCCACAAAAAACTACTAAAGCTAATAAACAAATTCTTCAACTTTGCAGGATACAAGAACAACACACAATTTACTGTATTTCTATACATTAGCAATGAACAATTCACAAAGGAAACTAAGAAAACAATTCCATTTACGAAAGCTTCCAAAGAATAAAATACTTAGGAATAAATTTACCAAGGAGTTGCAGGACTTATACACTGAAAACTACAAAAAGTTGCTGAAAGAAATTAAAGAGCACATCAATAAATGGAAAGACATCCATGTTCATGGATTGGAAGGCTTAATATTATGGCAATATTCTCCAAACTGTTTTACAGATTCAGCATAATCCTTGTCAGGTGACTCCCTGAATCCCCAAAACACCCAATTCACAAATTGCCTAGTGGCAATTTTGGGTGGTTACTGGGCAAGTAGCCCCAACAGGTGCTCTCAACAGGAGCTTCCTTCAGTAGCAATCAACAGGCCTCCACTTGTGCAACGTGGAAGGCAACTAGCAATACCTGTAATAGTTCTGAGTAAATCTCAGGGATCAGCATCTAACCTCAGTGTGAGCAGAGACATTTGCAAGTGGCCAGAAGCTCAGCACTGGCAACAAATCTGAACCTGCACCAATATGAGGAACACCACTTGCTCTGCCCTGGTGACTCCCTGAGGCTCCATCTCATTCATCTGCTGAGACTGTCAGACAGCCTCTAGCCAGTGGGTGCCCCGGACCTTTTGCTGAACTGTCCCAGACCCAGTACTAGTGGCAGGCAGCCTTGGTTCACCGCATGGCCTCTCCCACATACTTCCAAGTCCAGCTCAGTTAGTAACCAAACATAGATAGCTTTGTAGCTCCTACCAGGTAGCCACTGGCCAGTCACAGGCAGCTGACTGCAGCCTGCACTAAAGCCCCTCACAAGGGGCTCCAGAACCAGCACACCCAGAGGCTATGTATAAGGATGCTCAATGAACTTAGGAGAATAGATGAGCTCAGTAAGAATTTAGACAAAGAGATAGTAAGCATGAATAAGGACATAAAAACTATAAAAAAGAACCAGTCAGAAATGAAGAATACAATAACTAAAATGAAAAATACATAAGAAGGAATCAATAGTAGATTTGACGAAGCAGAGGATCGAATCAGAGATTTGTAAGACAAGAAAGCAGAAAACTCCCAATCAGAACAGCAAAAAGAAAAAAGAATTTGAAAAATGAGGATAGTTTAAGGGAGCTCTGGGACAACATCAAGCATAACAATATTTGCATCACAGAATACCAGAAGAGAGAAATCAAAACATTGAGAGCCTATTTGAGGAAATAATGACTGAAAACTTTCCTAACCTGGTGAAGTAAATAGACATATAAGTCCAGGAAGTGCAGAGTGTCAAACAAGGTGAACTCAAACAGACTCACAAGACATATCATAATTAAAATGGTAAAAGTTAAAGACAAAGAGAGAATCCTAAAAGCAGCAAGAATAAGGCAGCGAGTTACTTACAAGAGTACTCCTATAAGAATGTCTGCTGATTTCTCAACAGAAACTTTGCAGGCCATAAAGAATTGGCAGAAAATATTTAAAGTGATGAAAAGAAAGGACCTAAAACAAAAATAAGTCTACACACCACATCTATCATTTAAAATGATAAGATGAGATAGAGTTTCTTGGATGGGAAAAAAACTAAAGGAATTCATCTTCATCAGGCAAGTATTACAAGAAATGTTGAAATGTTGAAAGGACTTCTTTTAAAAAAAGAGGAAAAAAAATAACATAATATGAATAATAAAATGGTAATATCTATGCATATATCAATTACACTTTAAATGTAAATGGATTAAATGCTCCAATCAAAAGATATAGGATAGCGACGTCAGAAATACAAAAAATCATACAAGAATACTATGAAAAAGTATATAACACCAAATATAATAACCTAGAAGAAAGGGACCAGTACTTAGAAAAATATAACCTTCCTACACTGAATCAGGAACTGGAAAATCTAAATAGACCGACCAATCGGTAGTATGGAAATTGAAACAATCATCCAAAACCAAAAAGTAAAAGTCTAGGACCAGATGGCTTTACCATTGAATTCTACCAAACATTCAAAAAAGATTTAATATCTATTCTCCTGAAACTCTCCCAGAAAATTGAAGAAGAGATATTACTTCCAAACTCATTTTATGACGCCAGTATTACCCTGATACTAAAACCTGGTAAAGAGAACACAAAAAAAGAAAAAGTACAGACTAATACCTCTCATGAACACAGATGCAAAAATTAGATACTAGCGAATCGAATACAGCAACATATTAAAAAGATTATACGCCGCGATCAAGTGGGCTTCATCCCAGTGACACAGAGATGGTTCAACATATGCAAATTGATTAATGTGATATACCACATAAACAAATTAAAAAATAAGAATCATATGATCATATTCATAGATGCAGAAAAGGCCTTCGACAAGATACAGCATCTATTTATGATCAAAATACTTAATAAAATCGGTATAGAGGGAAAGAAACTTAACATAATAAAGGCCATATATGACAAACCCTCAGCCAACATTATACTTCATAGTGAAAAACTAAAAACCTTCCAAGATCAGGAACAAGGCAAGGCTGTCCACTATTGCCACTGCTATTCAATATGACATTGGAGGTCCTAACGAGTGCAATCAGGCAAGAGAAAGATACAAAAGGCATCCATGTAGAAAATGAAGAAGCCAAACTGTCACTATTTGCGGAATACATGATTCTCTATATAGAAAACCCTAAAAACGCTACAAGAACACTACTAGAAACAATAAGCAAATACAGTAAAGTTTCTGGATACAAAATCAATGTTCGAAAATCCATAGCATTGCTAAGTTTTAATAATGAAGTGTCAAAAAAAGAAGTGGAAAAAATAATTCCTTTTGCAATTGCAACAAAAAAAATAAAATACCTAGGAATAAATCTAATAAATCATGTGAAGGACCTATATAATGAAAACTATAAGTTCCTATTAGAGAAATCGAAGAAGATGCAAAGAAAAGGAAAGATATTCCATGTTCTTGGATTGGAAGAATCAACATAGTTAAAATGACCATTATTACAGATTTAATACAAACAGATTTAATACAAACCTCATCAAAATCCCATCGGCATTTTTTTTACAGAAATAGAACAAAAAATCATCAGATTTGTATGGAAGTGCAAAAGACCTCGAATTGCCAAAGCCATCCTGAGAAAAAAGAACAAGGCTCGAGGCATCACTCTGCCTAACTTCAAATTATACTACAAAGCAACAGTAATCAAAACAGCATGGTATTGGCAGAAAAAGAGACACATGGACCAGTGGAACAGAATGGACAGTTCAGAAGTAAACTCATATTTATATGGGCAAATAATTTTCGACAAAAATTATTTGTTGAAAATGAAAGGAAACCCTCTTCAATAAATGGTGCTGGGAAAACTGGAAAGCCACCTGCAAAAGAATGAAACTAAACTGTTGTCTATCACCACACACCAAAATTAACTCCAAATGGATTAAGGACCTGAATATAAGACCTGAAACAATAAAATGCTTAGAAGAAAACATAGGAACGAAACTCAAGGACCTTGGACTTAAAGAGGATTTTATGAATTTGACCTCAAAGGCAAGGGAAGTAAAAGCTAAAATAAATGAATGGGACTA